GTATTTTACAGGCGTCCTCGTTGATTTATTCTGCGAAAGGACGTTAGCGGCTAGGTTTAATTCATTGAACGCCACTGTTCACACTTCATGATTTATGATTTTATGCATATTATCGGCATTCTATTGACAGTGGCACACATAAAAAAGGAAACGCAGAAAAAAATCTCCGATAATCAACCTAGAACTCAGTGGGAAAACAGCATAAAGTTGTTGCGGTGTAGAGGGGGTAATCAGTGCAGAAGGGCAGTGGCCGCCAACACTGCAAGTCCATCCACGCATCAAATAGGACTCCGGATACCAACTTAGTAGGTCCGCCAACTTTACTGAGACCCGAGCCTCTCAACAGCCCAGGCTAAGGATTAGGCCAGTGAGGTGTGCAACTAGGCTAATAGAAAATATACTTCTTGCATAGTAATACAAAACACATTCAATGTAAAGCGACTTAACACACAGTCAAAAATACAACAGTACAGGAAATAGGAATACAAAAATCACTTAATCGCCACTCAGCCTTTCAAAGTGTAATAATTTAGTTTCTGTTCTCAGAACCACCCTTGTGAAATCATATCTTTTCTCACTCTGTATCTTTTACAATCACGGTGAAGCTTGCTTTTAATAATTGAACCTGTGCTTAGGTGCGGGGGTGCCAATTTGCAGTGGTATTTGTTGATTCGGTCGGGAAACGGTCGAATTTCTGCTTGTTCCAGTTTCAAGACTACCGTGAAGTTGAATGTAGCTCCGGTTGTAGAGAGATGTAGATAGTTTTTGTAATGAACTGTCACCTCAATCGATAGCTGTCAGTAAGTACCATCCAGAAACTGTCAACAGTTTAGTCGTACATCAATTAATTGCGTTCGCACAACGGACAGATTGAGAATTGTTGATGGTGCGACGGTCCAAAAGGGATTAACACATGTTGTGCACCCGTTCCATTGCACGATAGTAAATCAACGCCAGAATGTTTTGCTGTTCTCAAAGGGCTGATGACCAGTGTGATGAACGAGTACGAAGCAAACAGGTTCACACAATTCCTCTCACCCTAGTCGGCACTGCTCGGCGCGGCATTCGCGGAACTGTTCTCTCGCTCGCTCCAGAGTCGCCATTCGTTGCCTCCCGACGGACCGCTCTCTGCCGCTGCAACCTGTTGCTGGACACTCCAACCTGACGTCATCCATATCTCCCGCTGCACTAGAGAGATTAACTCCCCTTGCACAGCGTTTGCTCTTCGCGTCTTCGCATCTGTTTTTCTCGCCGTCGCTCGCGTAAAATTCTCCCCGGCAATACGGCCTATACCAGAGCGCCAATCAGCGCTCGTCCCCATAATAGGACAAGTGCGCCGATAGTGGAGCCATAGCTCCATAATTTTCCCCATTAGTCGTTTGAAGGAAGTTATATGTTCATTCGGGAGAATCTCTAGAGTTTGGCTAAGGGACCATTTAAGGGCACTTATACAAAAGTGGTACCACCATTCCGAGTCCTCTCTCTATGAAGAAATTGATGCGCTGTTCGGTTTGGGAGGGGCATTTTGCACTTTTGATTGTTCCCTTTTCTAATTCGTGTTGATTCACGGGTCTTATTGTGGTGGGACCTCAAACTTTTGTGAAGCCGCGAAGTGGAACAAGTGAGCCACTTTGGTTACGAGAATTCACAGGTCTTCACGAGGTGATCTGTGCGAGCTTCGCTGAGACCAGTTATTGCCCCCACCAAACCGAACTGCGCCGAAACTGTTTTACCCACTTCAGAGCTACTAACCCAAAAAGTCCTTCATCACGGTAATACTGGTTTGTACAAGTGCCTTTAAATACCTCCCCCTCCCACCTCACCTTGAACCCAAAGTTCAGTTTTTGCACTTCAAGGGCAGCACTCTGCCGTGGCGGATCAGTTCACTAGTTAAGAAGCGTCGTAAAAAAAGCTGATAAGAAGCAGATTATAGAAGGTGGAAAGAAAAAGAGGAAAAAAGAAAGTCGCAAATACACTTGAAATTAAGAAACTCACAGAAACAGCAGTTTTTTCAAACAAGAGGGTCCTGTTTGAAATCTGGGCGCTAATAACCTGGACTAGAGAGGGACAGCTGAAGGTCCGTATGTGTGAAACTGGGATTCCTGCGATGGATGAATCGCAATTTTGCATAGGTTTGGTGAACAAATTTGAAGGACGGTACTTCACTTTAGGCGTTATTCCCAGTTTCGCACAAGGAGTCCTCGAAATCTCTCCTCCCGCCTAATTGGTCACCTTGCCCCCAAAGTGCAGTTTTTGAATTGTAAGGGCACCGTTTTGCTGTGACAAATTAGTTCAGTAGTTAAGAAGCGTCGTAAAAAAAAGCTGATAAGAACAGATTATCGACAGTGGAGAAGAGAAAGAAGCAAGAAAAAAAAACTCCCAAAAAACATTTGAAAAGGTTTCTTTCCGGAATTGGGGCGCTAACGACCTTCGAGGGATGAGGGAGGGTGGGGAGCGAAATAGATGATTTTCTGCGAAGCTTGGACTCCCTCGAAGACTTTTGGATGATTGTAAACCTAAACGGGAAGAGTTTTGGGGATGAACAATCAGTTTAAAAGCTGGAAGCCGATGCCTCTATCTGGATTACGCTACATATTCCCATTTTTGCGTAAGGGTCTTTAGAGCCCCCCCCCCACAGGATGATTAGCCTAGAACTTGCTATTTTTTGTATCGCCTACGATGTTTCCTAAGCACTTATTCTGGCACTTATTTTTTTATTTTATATTTTGCCTCTCTATGGGGTTTCTAGCGAGGAATTCAATTTTCCAGGTCGGTTTCCCATCCGAATATTGTGCGACTACGAGGAAGTTTTCAAGATCGCCATTATTTCTTTCTGGTTATGGAACTGTGTCGAGAGCAAACGTTGCTCACCTTGATAAATCAAAGTAAACGTGAGTGCCATAGATTTTTCATCTCCTACAATATTCCCGAAAAAATGTCCTTCATATTTCAAATGGCTCTAGTACTACCTAGTGTGGGTGGTACGAAGTGTTTTCAAGGAGGCGGTACTGAATTGGTGCATTGTTGTCAAGATTTCCTCAGATAGATGAGATTGTGGACATGGGAACGGTTTACTTTACCACGTTTTCGTGAACTACTTGTTCTTGGCAAATACAAGGGTTGTCAAGTGGTGGCGGATGAAGAGTGAAATGCGGGAACATTATTTGCGCATGAGGACTTAACAACATATAAAGGGATTCTTGTAACAGCAGCAGACTCTTGAAGGGACTTAAAGACACATTTTACTATTGCGCGATAAGTGATATATGATGGTTATTCAATGATATATGATGATCAAGTCCGCAACCATACGTAATGCACCGCTGACCCGTCCTCGAAATTCAGGCCACATTTTGTTCAGAATTTTTTTCCCTGGAATAGATTCAACTAAGGTTCCGTCCCCAGGGGTAGCTTTGTCCGTTGAACGCGAATATCACTTTTGTTTGGCACGAAACTTCGGGTACGGGCGTCTGGGGCACCTGTATAGGGCCGGCGCTCGCACGCCGAGCGATTTCGCTGTAAGTAAATGTGGTATTTGTGTTCAAGGAGTCAGCTTACCCTTGGGGTCAGAATTTTGGCTAAACCTACCCCTCGAGAAAGATTTCAATCAGAATTTAGCCTCAGCCGATTCATTGTATTGAGGGAATTGTTTGAAAAAAATGCAGATTCGCACAGATTTCTTCCCCTGTGACTCCCCTTCTACCGCCTTCCTTCTTTCCAATTTTTCTCAAAATTCCGACATCAAGTAGAGGGGGTAGAGACTTCTCCCAGCAGCTGTCAAAAAGCAAATGACCACTGATAAGGACAAGAAGCTGGAAACGATAGAGAGGTTGGAGCGCGGGGGTTATACAATGCCTGAAACG